AACTACATCTTTATAAGAGTTTTTATCAGTATTATAAGATGACCCTTCACAACTACCATGTGCACCTACATTTCCAGCTATTATTATAGAGAAATTTTTAGTTTGATTAATTTTTAGATTTGATATTAATATATTGTTACTTATTTGATAATATAATTTTTGGTGTATATCAGCACATTGAACTGGTGATAAATCAATTACTTCAGAAAAATAGACATCTTTAACTATTTGTGCATCATTAAAATAACTACATCTGGATACAAAATAGTCTGCTAAAATATAACATGCTTTAAATGGAATAGTATGAGATTCAGCGCGCTGTTATAATTTAATTGTTTGAATTTTAGTGATTTGTGATGGCGGTGGGACATGACAATAATCTACTGATAGTGTATTAAAGGCTGTAATATTTAATTTGGGTCCTGAACAACTGTAGGCTATAAAACTTAGTGAATTTTTTATTGCAATAAATAATATAGTTACTATTGTAATAATATATGAATTATAGTGTAGAATAATCATTTTTGCTTAGTTAATGAATTTTTTTTTTTAAATATTAATTTGCATTTATTTCCATTATAAAAATAAAACATTATTATTTAATGAACAAATTAAATTAAATTAAAAGATTCACCAAAACAAAATTCACTTTAAAATCTCTAAGTGTCATTTAGTTTTTTTTTAAGAAAAATATTCTAAGTCCAAATAAATTAAAAAAACGACTAAGTGTTTTAAAAATTGAAAAATATTCAAGGTCCAAATAAATTAAAAAATCGACTAAGTCCCAGAGAGTAAGAATCTTGAGTAGAGTGTCGCAGATTTTGTGTATTTTAAAATCGCCAAAAGAACTGATTTTAATAGGAAAAAATGGGTTTTTATAGTAGACGAGGGTCGTGTAGCGATCCCTAGTGTGATATCAGAAACTGTAGATCTTAATTAATAGTTAAATGTGATTGGCTGTAGCTAATTAAAAACCCACACATGGGCGTTACTTTGAATCAGTACGATAATCAGATTTAATTGTCTAATTTATTGATTATTTTAAGTTTTAAATAAGGGAACCCTGTTTTGGTGATCTTGTAAATTCACAATATATAACATACATGTACAAAAGATAACATAATATAATATTTTAATATTATAAGTAATAATATAATATTACAGTTGCAGCGTCGAGTAGTGACGGCGCCTGTTAAAAATCCAGTTGGAAAATGTTAGATTCGGTTTTTTTCTCGTTTTTTAATTTGCGAGAATTATGTGCAGGACATTTTGGTTGAATGGAGTGGCCCATTGTTGGTACCTAATTTTTTTTGTTTTTGGGCTCTTATGGTGTTTGGTTCAGTTTTATTGTAGTTATATTACGGCGTACAGTTTGCGCAGTGAAGGACGAGCCCATATGGAAGACAACAGGTCGGATCGGATTATACTATTTTTGTACATATAAATAATAGTTAAAGATTGCTTGTAAAATATTAATTAAGTACGGGGACGCCCGTCTAATTACGATCAGATATATAATTTGTTATATTATTGTTATAGTCTGTAATTAACAGCAAAAAAATTATTGTTTTATCTTTGGTTATACGCCTGGTGGTAATCGCATCAGAGTTTCCAATGACATGTTTTTTTTGTTATGATCAAGTGAAACTAGAATATCTTAGTCTACAAGTTAGATATTAATATTAAAAAAATATATTAAATTAACCCTACCAAATTTTTTCTATTTAGTTATCTCGCTATAGAACCAATAAGTCTACTATACAATGTCCATAGAAGATAGAATTTTTTAGTTTTCCTACTACGATTTATTATTAAAAATAGTCGAATCAATGTAGTTAGAGCTCAATAAAAAATGCTTAATTAGTGCTAATCAATATTCAGCTATATTTTTATAAAATAAGTTGTCGTAAAAATTATTGACATTTATAAAATGAGAAACTTACCGATTTTAAATTAAATTCTAAATTTATTGTGTTTTAAACTGGTAAGAAATTCTTATCTATTATCTATTATTGTTTAGGATGGTTTTGCTTATTATTATTGTTATTATAAGGTTCATATAAAATTCTTACATTATCATAATTTCCATTAAACAATTTTGTTTTATCATTCTTGTGTAAAACCCCCACTTGGTCATGTTTTACGATTATTATACGAAAAAGATCCTAAATATTAGGTCAGGACTTGGCCTAATCGGATCTGTTTTAGTCTCACCTATGATTTCATCAACTGATGTGTTAATGAATTTTATTTTAACCTATATATTTTTGATTTTTTTTTAAATTTTTATACGTGCCTTAATCCCAACTACTAAACTTCCACTTGACACGATCTTTCACATCAGCCGTCCTCATATCGCATCCAATATCATTCCTCCATCTCTTTTTTAGTCTTCCTCTACCTCTCCTTCTTTCAACTTTAATTTCCATAACTGTACTCACAGCTTCTGATTCCTCTCTCCTCATAACATGACCAAACCATCTAAGTCTATTTTCTCTCATCTTATCCACGATTGACGGTACACCTATATTCCTTCTTATATGTTCGTTACTTATCCTATCTTCTCTAGTCACTCCACTCATTCATATAAGCATTCTCACCTCTATTACGCTCATTTTCTGATCTATATTCTTGTCAACCGTTCAACACTCTTAACCATACATTATAGCAGGTCTCATTACAGTCTTATAGAATTTATTTTTCAGTCTCATTAGAATTCTTTTATCGCATAATACACTAGATGCTTCTCTCCACTTCACCCACTCGCACTTAAATCAGTGTTTTACATCCTCAACAATACCACCGTTTTTTTGCACAACTGATCCTAAATACTTAATACTTAAATCCACCTCTCCTATCACGTCCTTGCTTATTGTTACTGATATCCCCATTTAACTACCTCGTGTTCTCCTCTGTCAAACTTGTACTCTATGTAATCTGTCTTACATCTACTTATTCTTAAACTCTTTTTTTCAAGAGCTGATCTCCACACCTCTAGCCTTTGATTAATTTTCTCCCTATTTTCTCCTATTAACACTATATCGTCAGCGAACTACATGCATCACGGCACATTTCCTTGTATTTCTTTAGTAATTTCATCCATCACTATAGAAAATAAGTAAGGGTTATTTTTAAATAATTAAAAACTAATTAAGTTTTGATTATTTCAATTGTAGAATTTTTTTAAACACCAAGTGTTACGATAAAAGCCGGCAGTTTACCCAAAGATTAAACAAATATGTTTTGTTGTTAATATCAGAATATATTAATAATATAATAAATTATATATCTGTACTAATTTGACGGGCGTCCCCGTACTCAATTAATATTTTACAAGCATCTTTAAGTATTATTTATATATACAGAAATAGTATAATCCGATCCGACCTGTGGGCTAGTCCTTGACTGCGCTAACTGTACGCCGTAATATAACTACAATAAGACTGAATCGAAGACCATAAGAGCCAAAATAACAAAAATAAGGAACCAGCAATGGGTCACTCCATATGTGCTGTACGTAAATCTCGCAAAAGTAAAAAAGGCAAGAACAAAATCGAAACTGACATATACACTGTCGAGATAACTGTGTTTTTAGCAGGCACCGTCACTACTGGACGCCGCAAAAGGTTGGTGGTGGAAACGGCTGATAGGAACCAGTTGTCTCCATCACGTCTTATCGCCAAGACTCATATAGAAATGATTACTATGATTTCTATTTAAATGATTGATGACGATAAAAATACAAATAACATAATAAGTGACTTTAAATTCCAGTAAATTTACTGTAAATATTAATTATAAAGTTTCTTAAGAGCATATTAATCTTAACGATACTATTTTTAAAAGTCTTATAAAATTTTCTATTTAATGATGTAAATATCAAACTTACAAATTGAGCTAAGTTATGTTAGAAAGTACCATCTTTAATTATTATAAACTTTCGTGAAAATCAACTCTTAAGTACCAAAAATAAATAAATTAGTTAATTAATGAGACTTTGAATCGATATTTTGCACGTATAATTTTTATAATATTTATTATAAAATATTTGTTTTATTATTATTTTTATAAGTATTTACTTGTTTTTTTACTAATTAGTAATAATTTTTAAAAGAGGTAATAGATAAAATCTAATTGCAGATTTGAAATCGGCGCATAAATGGGTTTAGAAAAGTATATTTTGGGTCCTTGAGGTAAATTTCTTGTAATCCAGTAAATTTATTCATAAGTAACAAATAATTTTTTTTTTTAAGTATTTCATCAAGCCTTTATATTTTTATACACGTTTGTCATAATAGTAATAACTACTATATATTTTTTTCTAGTTTCTCTGTACAAATTACAATATTAAAATATTGAACATCAATCTCATACTAAATTTAATTACTATAATAAGCATTTATTGGTATATTATACTTCTAAATAAAAAAACTACAAATCAGCATATAATTAAGGAAATAGAACTTAATGTTGCTTTTGGAATAATCCACCAATCTCTTAAAATTATACATTATCTACAGATTTTCATCGAAGCGTTTCTTGTAATAGTAATTTTAATCACTGTCAGAAATAATCTATTCTAGTCCCAACTATGCCACGTCCATATTGTGCCGCGACCTCATTATGTTACCGTTTATTTATAATAATACTAACCACTTATGTATTATGTAAACATAAAACTACATCTAGTCAGTATTAATAGCAGAATGCACCCATTGTAAAGAAAGTTAATTTTACTAAACTAAATTTATTTAATTTATAATTTAATTGCTATTCAATAATTAATGTATGTAAATCGTGTTCCAAACCTCCTTCCATTTAAGCAGGAGAGAGTTATGAACCCCTGCAAAAATTAGAAGCTTTATTATGATTAGCAAATAATTGGATGGACGTAATTGTTCCTTTGTTCATCAAAGCGCATTCCTTGTTTAAGTAATTGTTGTTATCTTTTTATTTAATAATAATATATTGTAATTTTAATTAATAAACAAATAATCTGGTATATTTTAAACGTAGATAATTATATTTTTATTTAGTTAGCTAGTTATATTTAAGAAAAACATTAATATGGTATATTAGCTTTATTGCTACCGAAAATATTATCAAAAGGTACTTCATAAATACATTTCAATTCTTCATAACATCTCTGACAATAAAGAAATGTACAATTTGGAGACAATTTGTAGAGTCCATTAAAAATGTCACATTGAATACATTTAGGAATGGATTCTTTAGGAATACCTAAAAAATTAATAGCAACATTTTAAATTGAATCTTTAATGGTCAAATTATTGATTTATAACACTAATAAGTAAATATCCCAAAAAAATAAGTGGAGTTTCAGCTTGGGATTTGTGCCATTCGTTAAAATATTTTATCAAAAAATTAACTTTTTCAACTTAACTTTTGAAAGTGTTTCAGAAAGTCTGACACTTTTATATATATCTTAAATTAAAGCTAATGTAATATACTTTATTATGGAAAAAAAAAATCTCGGACTTAATTTTGTCTTCACGGTGAAAATAATTACCAAATGTTATTTTTGTTTGAAAATTTTTGATTTTATATTTAAAATTTTTAACTTTGTAATGCTAAAACTTATTGAAAAGTGTATGGATCAATACAATTTTTTTTTGATAAATACTATTTATATATCTCTTTCATTTGACATACTTTTATTTTTAAATAATATCATTTCCCTTTTTACATTTATATATTATTCAGATATTACACGTATAAATCATAAAACTTGTAATCAGGATATAAATAAGAAAATTGGATCATGTAGCTTTTGGAATAATCCATTAATTTTTTTAAATTAAACATTATCTACAGATTTGCATCGAAACGCGTTTTATGACAGTGATTAAAAATCATTGTCAGATATCATTTATATTGGACCCAACTATGCTACGTCTGTTCTGTTTCGCAATCCCACTGTGCTGGGTTTTTTTAAATGAACTTAAGCAAAATGTTAGTTGTTATGGGTTGTGGATGCATAGATTTTAGTTATAATATTAACATGAGAACATACGATATTTAATTTTTTTTGGGTTATTTATCATTTTAGCTTCGATGCGAAGCGGAGAAGGTATTAATTTTACTATGATGTGTTTTTTTTTTTTTTTTTTTTTTTTTTT